AAATAAAAAACGTTGAAAAAAAAATTAAAAAAAAAAATAAATAATAAATAAAATAAAATAAAATAAACCAGATAAAACTAATTATTAACTACTTACCCTTGGAGATTTTAATTCTATTTCTTCTCTTTCACTTTCACTATTTGAATCAATATTCTCCTCAGGTTCACTCTTCACTTCTACTAAAGGCATTTCTTGATCTACTTTTAGAGCCTCTTCCATTGATTCTTCTAACTCTTTTTTTTCCTCTTTTACTTTTGGTTCATGGTGGTGAACAGTTCTGAACTGAATATTTGCAGAACGGCAGTATTCCTCAAAACCATAGAGATACCTAAACAAACAATATTTCATTTTAGGAAATCTTAGTCTTTACATTAACTTGAATACTATATTATTAAACATTTTATTTTTAAAAAGTAAAACTTAAGACTTTTTTTTAAAGTACTTTTTTTATGGTACTGACTTCTTGGTTTTATACAGGATTATAAACAGGAATATTGATCATACAATTTCTTCCTAAAAAATCTATGCTTGTGATAACTGAACATAGCTATCATAGTTTTGATATGAAAGTTGTTCACCACAGAAGATATAGCTCTAGAACACCTATCATCATTTCAGACTGTTAACACTACCTGCATCCCTAACTCTGAAAAGGAAATTTAGGACAACATGAAAAATGGAGTAAAGCAGACTTGGTGCAATGAAATAATGTTCAATCCCAATCATCTATTAACCTGAACTTTTTTATACACTTTCTCTAACTTTAATGTTCTTTGATTGATGTGTTCTTGTTTAACTGTTAACAAATTAAATGGAAAATATTCCCTGTAATATGTATTCTTTGATGAATAAACTATACTACTTACTTTCTATAAGCAGTTTTTACATTGTAGGAAGCAGCTGAATTCAAAATAGGAATGCCAAGGTCCATATAAATTTGCTTCCATACAGCACCACTATCAATCTGGAAAATTAAGTTTTTATTTGTTAACATTTACAAAGGGAAATAATCTTTACACTAACATTCTATGTTCATTAAGAAAATGTGTTTATTACCTAAGTGCAGAACAGTACATTAGATGATTTAACTTTTTCATTACGTCCTTACTTACATTGTCACATCCACCTTGATGATAAACCAGTCTAAAGAGTTTGAAGAGATTGAGATCTTTATAGCCCAAAACAGGTGGTTTGTTGATTGGAGTACCTTTTTAATATCAGAAAGTAGAAATAAAATTTTTATTCAAATGGAAAATACTGGTACAAAGCTATCAATACAAAGCTTTCCAATTTCTCATTTCCCAAGTTTTATTAATCAGAAGCATCTATTTAAAGAAACTTTAATTATGTAAGACAACATAAAATATTCTCTATATTCTTTATGAAGTATTGTGATGCTCTTTAGATTCACTTCTATGACTAATAAGATCACCCCTCTCACAACTAATATAATCACCTGTCAGTGGACTGGGTACAAGTAAAACCTACAACTACAAGGTACAGCTAACAATGATGTTGGCTCAAGAGGCCTCTGTAAGAATATACACAATTTTACAGGTGTAATTTAGAGCATGGATCCATTTTCCCTGCTTTAACACAAATATTAAAACTGCTGGCAGTAATCTGAAGGATGATTTCTGAAAGCCACAGAGTATCTAGGACAAATTTGTCTCAGGATTTTCTAGGACTAATATAATGTCAAAAAGTAGAATTTATAAAGGCTGTATTTCTTTTAACTGTATTCGAAATCCTATTCTATTTACATAGGACTTGATCTCCTAATTTGTTTCTTTTTTTGAGATCAAGGATGAGGCTAGTTTATTACTGCAAACAGCATTAGTAATTAATGGATATGTAAATTAATATTATGACTGTTCACCTTCCATTACTGAAATATTATTATAGTATTTTTTGCTTTTATAAGTCCCAAGTAGGCTAAATATAATTATATCCAAACTATTTTCCTATACATTTCTGCTCAAAATAGATAATGGTTGTTTTTATTTCAAATGCTTAATTATTTTCAACTGTAACTGATTCTTAGGCTTTACTTGAAATCCAAATCCACGATTCTAACAAAAATAATGCATAAACCTAGAATGTAAAACTGTAAAAGAAATGACTAAAAGAAATGACTGCTTTTTTTTTTTTTTTAAGGAGGCTCCACAGTAGGTGTTCAACACAAGGCTTGAACTCACGACCCTGAGAACAAGACCTGAGCTAAGATCAAGAGTCAGACACTTCACTGACTGAGCCACCCAGATGCCCCAGAAATTACTGCTTTTAAATAATGAGCATGAAATACCTCTGTCTTCCATAAACTTATAAAGCTGTTGGAGGAAGTTGTCCCTCTCTTCAGGATCAAGTTCTTCCTCAGGCTGTAAAGGTAAAATATATAAATATATAGAATAATGAATAGAGCAAGATATATCGTCTTCTTTTTTTGTTTGTTTTATGAACCCAGTGTAAGAGGAACTTTGACGGAGCTGGAAAATATGAATTTCCTCCAAACTTTACAATGCCAGATTTTAAGTCATATTTTCATAGAGCTGATCTCATACAACTGTCAAGATACACCATCTCTACCTTTTACCCATCTATCACTCCAACCCTACCCCTGAATATAAGGACTAAGATGAGCCATGAGGAAAGGTTAGGAATTGGTTAAGAGTGTTTTCACCTCATTTGTTTTGTTTTTTTTAAAAAAAATCCACCAAAATACCATGTGGCCCACACAAATGTATTGACAGATGAGCACAATAATTGCAAACATTTATTATTTTAAAATAACCCACATACAAACATTAAAATTTTGTTATTGTTGAATGACTATAAACCAGAGGTTGCAAAGTCACATGGCAAAGGTTTTTTGTTTGGATAGCACAACGGTTTAAAGAAATGCATATACAACTACATTTAAATGATATTTTGTCCCAGGCCCCGCAATCCCTTCTTGTATCACGTAAGTCTGCATTTTCCATTTGCCCTCTTGCATGGCCTTTTAAATAAGACTTTGCAACCCTTGAAAATAAGAAAATGAAAATTACTTCTTAGGAAAGGAAACTAGATACATAACCACAAATTAGTTCCTGGGAATGGGAAAACAATGGAAATATTCATGTAAAAAAACCTACTTCTACAAATACCAATTTAAATTTTATTTTCTTACTAATTATATAAACCTATACAATGCTGAACTTGGCTCTAGTCAAATAGATTTTGATAAAATATCCCCTTTCCTGATAGACTACTTCTAAATAATATGTGGGAAAATTCTGATTTAAAATTTAGAAATACTATGGAAAAACAAAACACTAATATCTTTAGCCCAAATTAAATTACTATAATTTAATTTCAGAGTACTGTTTTTTTATGTTCTAAAAGAAAAATTTAGATTTTTGTCATTCAAAGCATATGTCTTTGCATATTCAAAGCAAAAGCAACTATCAGCCAATAAGTATTGAGCATTCACAGTCTATAGGTTCCTTAAAATGATGTATTAAGAATTTTATTATTTTTTTTTTTAATTTTTTTTTTCAATGTTTTTATTTATTTTTGGGACAGAGAGAGACAGAGCATGAACGGGGGAGGGGCAGAGAGAGAGGGAGACACAGAATCGGAAACAGGCTCCAGGCTCCGAGCCATCAGCCCAGAGCCTGACGCGGGGCTCGAACTCACGGACCGCGAGACCATGACCTGGCTGAAGCCGGACGCTTAACTGACTGCGCCACCCAGGCGCCCCAAGAATTTTAATCACTAATAATATAGCAGCCAGAATCAATACACATGTAGTTGATTAAAATATATAATTTTAAAAAACCATGAGGCAATCAAGGGGAAGAGAATAAAATCTTTTAGTACATTCATTCAGAATGAGCACGGGAGTACTTTCAGTTTGAACAAATATAAAGAAACGTTGTCAAAGTTGTAAGCCTCACCAACGAGCAACATATAGAATTAATCAGTACAGAATTAATAGGGGTCATTACTAAATGTTCAGATCAAAAGATGGCAGTTTTTTCCCCATGTGAATTTTAAAAGTCTTGCTTTTGCAAGGTTATTAGAACAACTCCCAATGAGTTAACAGCAGCCCAAGAATCATTGCAGTATTATTTTTAAGGACTTTGGTATAGGGGAAAAAAGTAACACCTTATGCCAGACTGCCTCTATGCTTTGCCTGTCCTTCATAATTGCAATATTCTCTCCTCAAACCAACACCTCATTTCCAGTATTTATGATCTGGCAGAATTCAAATAAGACCATTGTATCCAGTATATGTAAAAAGTATTTTTTCAAAAGGCACTGATTTGAAATCAAAATTTCTTCCAAAAACAAGTAAACAAAATGAGCCCATCAACTGCAAATTAGGTATTAAGGTTGTAGTAAACATTTCATAAATTATTACTAAGAATATAGTTTTAAGTATATAGATAAAATTTGGTGTTTTAAATACATTTGACTTAAAAGTTAGCAAGGGTGCCTGGGTGGCTCAGTCAGCAAAGCCTCTGACTCTTGATTTTGGCTCAGGTCATGATCTCAAGGTTTTGTGAGGTTGAGCCCTGAATCACGGAGCCAGCTGGGAGTCTGTCCCTTTTATCTGCCCCTCCTCCACTCATCCCAGTTCTCTCTCTCTCTCTCTCTCTCTCAACACCCCCAAAATAAATAAACATTAAAAAAAAAAGGTAGTGGATGCCCAAGAGTGTATTAAGTACCATGAGAAATTATGGCCATAAAATTCTAAGGTCAGGTGCAGTTATCAGATGTGAAAAGAAGACATAAATGAATAAAAAAATTCCGCTTCTAAATAAATACCTGCTTGAGAGGAAATTTACTTTCCACAAGAAAAGGGTAAAGTTATAAACACAGTTTTTAAATTTACCTGATGGTCTTTGCAAAAATTAAAATTGCTTCATCTCTCATAACAAGTAATTCTTCACAATCTTTTTTTCAAATAGCTGTGTTGTCGGTCACCTTGGACTATAAACTGCATATGCTAGAAAATGCCTCCAGCTAGAAGAATCTGCCTCTATGGCTTTTGTATGGGGTCTCATGGTATGCTCTCTCTGTTCAAGGTATTTTTTTTTTAATGCAAAACTCTTTTTTTTTTTTTTTTTTTTTTTTTTTTTTTTTTAGATATACTTATTTAAGTAATCTTTGTGCCCAACGTGGGGCTTGAACTCGTGACCCTGAGATCAAGAGCTGCATGTTCTACTCACTGAGCCAGCCAGGTGCTCCTGGCACCTGGTATTTTCATACCTATAGCATCTCTCTCCTGGTCAATAACCAGAAGGTATTGCATTTTTCAAGGGTTTTAAAGTGGGAGGGAGAAGGTTGTAATAATGAGAGGGAAAGTCCACTAGACTGCTGATAAGCCTTCTTCCCTTCAGTCAAGCATGTGAAGGGGAATTATGCACCCAGTAAAATGTCAGAATGGAGAACAGGGTTAAGGATATAGAAGAGGCATGATATAAGATCATAATTTCAAGAAATTTACAACTTTAGTTAGCATCAGTATATACTACCTAGTGTTACAAAAGGTAGTTGTGCATCTACCTATATATACTAGTAAATTATGAATTTTCTGACTTTAGAAACTTTATCTTCACATTCAATTCAGACACTTACTGATGGCTAACATGCAGGAGTCTGGGAGGGATATACAAAAGATGCTGTGATTAAAATGAGAGGAGGTAGTACTTTCTACTCTGACCCTCTGAGTCTAACAGAGGGTACAGCAATGTAAAACAAGCCAATGTGATATAATGGTAAAAATACTGCAAAATACATAAAAGAATACAAGAAGGATGAGTGGTTGGTTCAGCTGGGGATGGTGTGATGGTGGTTCTATTAGGGAAAGCCTCAAAATGTGAACAGCAAGTAGCATAAACAGCAAGCAGCATAAACATGAAGCTGGCAAAGACAGGCTATGATTAAGAAAGGACTTTTTAATGATATGCTGGAGAATTGGAACATGAACCTGAGAGAGGTGAAAAGGAATTATATCAGATTTGTGTTCCTGCCAAGGGGCGCCTGAGTGGCTCAACAGTTAAGCAGCCGACTCTTGATTTCTGCTTGGGTCTCAGTCTGGCAGTTCATGAGATCGAGCCCTGCACCAGGCTTCACAATGGGCATGGAAGTCTACTTGGGATTCTCTCTCTCTCTTTCAAATTAAATAAACAAACAATAACTTAAATTAAATTAAATCAAATCAAATCAAAATAAAATAAAAGTTCTCTGTCAAGAATGAGTTTGATGGATTGGAAGGGAAAGGGAAGCTCTTTGATGGTGGAAAGAAGACCCTCTACTCCAAAAGGAGAAAGAGAGAGATATAAAGGCTGAGACTCTTCTTAGTTGAAGGCTCAGTTATTCATGTTTGTAATCCTCCATGTCCCCCCACGTTGTAAGTGCTAGATAAATTCTGAGGTTAGAGACATACCTATTTTACTCACAATCTTATCACCAGGGACTGGCATTTAGCTTAAGTACTCTGTTATTATGTGAATGAAAACAATGTCTCTGAAAATGAACTAGGGAGATTTTCTTCAATTATTTCACATTAGCTGAGTTTCAGAGCTAGCATTATTGATAATATAAATGCAACAGGAGTCAGATAAAATAAAAAATAACAGCCTCTGAGGATGTTAAGTCACAGGTCGCTGTGGCACAATCACTTATTAGCATTTACTTCATTCTGTCCCTATATACATTAATCAGAAAATGATTATTCACTCAGAAATGGCACGGATTCTAGTTAAAGATACACTTTCTTTTTAAAAATCTTTAAAATAAGATAATACCTTGTTTTTGCTGAGCTATTAACTGGGCTAAGCAACTCTCCAAAACACAAAAGTATACAGAAAGTGTCCAGATTGTCACAATATGTAGTAAAAGATGATGCATGTTACACAGATCCCCTCAAACCCATGAAACTTATACACAATTCTAAAGAGTAGGTCTGGAAAGTTTTTCATCACATAAGAGATTTGAGCCACAAAAGCTGACATTTTGAGAGTGCATAAGGGTGTGACTAAATTTGATTTTTGTAGTTTCCCTGTACTGCACTGTACGTGAAGTACGCATCTTTTGTTGATGGGTATTCCATTGCTCACGAACCCCTACAGGCATCCTTAATAAACTATTAATGACTATACGACACAGTCTTCCTTTCTTAAAAAAAAATATTATATTCCAGTACACCATGCTTATTTTTCCATACCAAAATATACTGTTTTTGTGAATTAATGTTATTTTGGACAACAGCAGCTTCATAAACCTACATGCTGCTGCCACAACCCCTCCCCGGTCCTCTTCACGGGCACTCACTTCCCCCCCCACCGGCACTCCACCACTAGTCTTCTCAACCCTTCAGTTCTTACCA